GTACCGTCTTTAAATAAAGAAAAAATAAACAAGCCTAATTACCTCCCCCCTCAAAAATAATTCAGCTCCTCAGTCGCACAGGCCAGGTTTCAAGTGCTCAACAGCCACACGTGGCCAGTGGCTTATGTATCAGATGGTGCAGCAACAGAACATTTTCACCATGAAGTGGTCAGCACTGAGCTAGGTTGTCACGCAGGACAACGGCACGGCTGCAAGGGGCTGGACACCCAGGAAGCCTTCAGCTTCCCGAGACCAGCGACTGCAGTGGGTAAAATGGGAACGTGCAGAAGGGAAGACTTTTTAAAGTCAGCAGCAGCAGCTCCCTCCACCATCCTAGCCAAGCTGCCGAGGCCCCCGGCATTAAGATGAAAAGTCAGAATCCTAAGCATCTCATCTCCCGAAGACTTGTCCTTTGGGAGGAGACGGGGAAACTAAGAAACACAGCCCAAGGCAGAGGGACACGATCATGATGTGCCAACGAGCAGGTCCTTCCCGGGCAGGTGTTCCAGGCCCCGGTTTAACGTGATCTGACTGATGAATGACCCTCTGCCTGGGTGTCACGAGGTCCATGCTTCCACGCCGTGAAGAAGTCGCTTACTCAGCTCCTTAAGGAGATGAGAAGGGTCTGTAAAAACTACGTGTGCCCCGCTGCGGCGGTGCTGGTGGAATAGCGCACCGGCAGAGTGGGTGCTGGTTTCCCAGGCACCTTCTAACCCACCCGCCCCAGGACCCCAGTGTCACAGGCGGGTAGGAGAGACAGTAATGCAGAAGGGAAGGCAGGGGAAGGGACGGGGCCCCCAGGAGGGTGAGGGCCAGGCAGAGTGCGGTGGCTTATCAGCTAATGAGTGAGACCCTCCATTTTCCACATGCACAAGAGCAGTGGTCCCAGCTGGGGTGCCCTCACTCAGAAATTCATGGTGCGGTTCTACAGGGAATGGAAATCCCCACAGAGGCCCCAAGACACCATCACTGCTGTCTTCATCGTCACTTATGACCAACATTTTAAATGCATTATCTCCGTGGAGCCTCACCATTATCTACCGTCTCCAGCTGAAACATGTGGGGAGAAGCCCAGAGAGGCTGAGTTACTGCCTCAGAGCTAGGAAGCTGTCCGCAATACAAAAGTGATTTTAAAAAGAAAGGACAACACACACATGTATGCACACCTGCACCCTGAGCAGGAATTTGAGCCCAGGTCTATCTGACTTCCAGGACAATGAGACTTTAATGATGACAGGGGAGGGTATACCTCAGTGGTAGAGCACATGCTTAGCATGCACGAAGTCCTGGGTTCAATCCCCAGTACCTCTTCTAAAAAGTAAATAAACCTAATTACCCCCCAAAATAAAATAATTAAATAATACAATAAATAAAACTTTCTTAAAAAAGAGAATTAAAAAAAAGACTTTAATGATGAACATATTTATAAAAGTACTCAAAGTCTTCTGTTACAAAAGAAAAAAACTGCATTTCTGTGGCCAGTGATCTTTTCTGGTGGACCAGTGGTTCAAAATATTTTGAGGATGTTACTTTATATTATGTGGTGATAGAAAAAAATGGAGACAATGAGTAAATAAAGATCAATGCAAATTTAAGGTTAGAGTCTCAGTTTAAGATGTCTGGCTATTAATACTGGGGTGTGGCCCCATCTGGGAAGCCGTAGTTGGGAACCGCTGGCGAGGACGTGGGTTCTCAACGCTGCCGATGGAGTTTCCAGTGGGCAAACTTTCCTGGGCCCTCTGTGTTACCACCTGCCTTTGCTCTAACGACCCCACTGCTAGGAGTTTGTCCTGAGAGGTCAACAAGGGCACAAGCAGCTGTGTGCAAAGATGCCCCCTGTACAGCTATTTATAAGAGTGGGAAACGCGCCATCATGAGGGATGGTTTAATGGAGCACAGCCTTGGGACGGAATAGAAGGCAGCTGTTAAAAGTGAAGCCTATAGACAGACCAGGCAACACGAAGAGGATGAGACAGAAACACACGCACACTCACATAAAAGGATGCCCACCATGTATTTCATAACAAAAAACACTTCACAAAACAACTACAGTATGGTCCATCGACATTTCAAAAAATACATGTCAGCACACAAACCATCTAGAAAAATGCACATCCAACCACTAATTGTAGTTATTTACCTCTGGACAGGATGACGGGGGAGGTTGGGGGGTAGGGAGAAGAAAGGAGGATCGTTCCTTTGCAATTAGTAGATTTTGGACAGTTAGTATGTCAAACTGCAAATAATCAGAGGCTAAATACGCAATATTAGTAAACTGCTAAAACAAAAAGTGCATTTGCAAACAATGCACAAATAAACAGACACATTAAAAAAGGACCATTTGGCTTTCAAACACAGAACCAAGCGGCACGTAACAAGCCGTCCGTGTAGAGAAATGATGTGGAACGAAGCCCCCAGCACCGTTATCTCTGGGTGATGATGGGATTACGGATGATTTTTATTTGTTTTGCTTATCTGCATTTTTAGACAGTTCTACCATGAACCTGAATTACTTTTTTAATTAGAAAAGCAAATGAGAAAAGTTAAAGAAAGAGAAAGGAACGAATGCAATCACCCAGGGGTTTAAGAAGGATCAGCCGCGCATTAGAGAAATCTGCACCGAGAACTCAAAAGATGCCAAATTCAAGCACCCAGCTAATCCTGGGAAAATTATATTTTGTCTTTAATGCTTGCCAAGCGCTCGAAATGTCTTTTCACGATGCCACTGAGCTCTGAGTGGGGGTGGGGGTGTGCTCTATATACTCACTGCAGGAGAAGTATTTTGTGCAAACTCATCAGTGGGATATTAGCAAGTCTTTGCTAGGTGCTGGCCACGCGCTAAGTGTAGGACAGCCTTGGAGAACGGAAGTAGAGGGGCCAGAACATCCTAGGCTGAGGGGCAGTGAGGGGGCACCTCAGAGGGTGTGATGGATGAATTGTCTCCCCCACAAAAAGCTGTGCTGGAACCCTAACCCTCCGAACCTGTGAGTGGGAACTCATTTTGGAAATAGAGTCTTTGCGGAAGTAATCGAGTTAAGATGAAGTCATTAGGGCGGGCCTTAGTCAGCATGGCTGTGCTTTTACAATAAGGGGAAATCTGGACACAGACGCCCACATGGGAGAATGTCACGTGAAGATGACGGCAGAGACGGGGGTGGTACAGCTAAAGACCCAGCCAACGCCCAGAGTCGCCAGGAGGCCGCCAAAAACCGGCGGAGACCTGGAACAGATTCCCCCTCGGTCCTTAGAAGGAACCAGCCCTGCTGACCCATTGATCTGGGACCTCTGGCCTCCAGACTGAGAGGACAGAAACGTCTGTGTTTAAGGTACTTTGTCCCGGCAGCCCTAAGAAGTTAAGACAGAGGGTCTGGGAGAAGGCCAGCACGTCGGGGGTTGTTTTGGCTACGGGATGGGCAGTCCTTATTCAACGAACACAGTGGTGTCTGTTTTGCTCACGTGGCCCAGCTGGGCTCAGAAAGCTGGCTGCAAATGGCCCAGGACAAAGGATCCTTCAGCCCGGAACACCGCTTACCTGGGTCTCTAGTTCCGTCACCTCCAAATTCAGCTTGTTCAAGTGCTTGTTCACGAACGTGATGAGAGACTGTGGGGGCAAAGACACACGGGAACGTGAGTGAGGTTCAGCTCCCGCGGGGGAAGACGGATTCGACGCCTGCCATCAGTGGCTTGGTGAGATGCTTCCACAGTCTCCTCTGTTTGCTAAAATAAAAGGCTCATGTTTAAAGTGAAATGTTCTCACAACAACCCTCGATTTCAACGGGATGATGCCTCAATCCAGCCCAGCTGGAGGAGACACGCACGTCCCGATGCACAAGGCGGGCGTGCACGGGATCCACGCTCGCACCATATTTAACAGCCCTACCGAAGACAATCAGTGCCCTCAAGAAGGAAAAGACTGTCAGCGGAGGGAATTAAATGTTTACATGTGTCCTGGGAACGACCCTGCACTACAAGAGACTGAGGGAGGAAGGCTGCCTCGGGCCACACCCATCTCAGGCTCAGTAAAGCCGACTCTACCCAGGGCTTCAGCTGAGGTGGGCAGGGATCTTCTGAGCTCTGGTACGCACGTACCAAGGACCACTGGCTTCTCCTCTCTGGCAAACGTTTAAAACTTGCCCCCTGTAGCTTCCAAACCCAACTTTAATGGAAACTCAGTACCAACCCCACCCCTCCCTGCCCTGCACATGATGTCACTTCCTTATTCATTGTACCCAAATGTGCCAGGCACTCTGCTCGGTGCCGGGGACACAAGACAGTCAGACAGAGCCCCAGCCTGAAGAGTCGGAGGCATGACTCTCCGCATGTACACCCAGCGGAGGCAGCGGAGAAATCGAGAGATACCCCAAAGCATGTGAAACACGCAGTGGGGGGGGTGATGCACACGCAGTGGGAGGTGCGTGGATCCCTGGAAGACGCCGGGCCGGGGGAGCATCTGAGCTGGGCTGAGAATGGGCCATGTGGGAGACGGGAGTGGGGGGAGTGGGCGGGGCAGCCACCCAGGCCACCCAGGCCACATACACATGTGCGAACCCCTGGGATCTTCTGGCCTAGGCTGGATGGGGGTGCGATGGGAGAGACCCTGGAGGGATCTGGAGAGGTAGACAGGGTCCCCCTACTTTCATTCTGGGGTACGGGAGCCACTGACACAGCAATTTTCAATTTGGAGGTGAGGAAGCCATCAGGCAAATCAAAGGATTTTGTGTCGGTCTTTGCTGGGGCCCCCAGTGCCACATGTGCTTTTCAAAGCCCGAATCAGCACCAGATCTAGTGAAAGATGAACGTCACAGTACATCATATTCACACTGTCTATCTTCTGCCCTCTTCCCGCTGGGCCCCGGCCCAGTGCACATGGCACTCACAGCGGCTGCCTCTGTCCCAACACGTGGGGAACCTGGGACGAGGGGCTATAATCTGCCAGGTCACACAGCTGAGGAGTGGGGAGCCAGATCTGAATCCTCTTCCTGTGCATCCATGGAACGGGTTCTGCCAGGGTTCTGGGGGCCGGATGTGGCCGGGGTTGGGGTGGGGGGCACTGCTCTGAGGCCCAGGGGTATGTCGCTCACGATCCAAGGATGCTAAGAAGGCTCCGCCCCAGGAGGATCACTGGGTGGTTCTGCCTGCGTTTTGCAAAGTGCTTCACAAACTAAAAATCTCATTGTCCCAACCTGGATCTGCATTTTCCAAATGCAGCTTCCATGGGATTTAATGTGTTCTACCTCAAAATAAATAAACAGATCTCACTGCAGACAAACAAGTTTGGAAAATGCTGCCTACCAAGCGCCCTCTTGGGAGAATCCCAATGCTTGTCAGCATATTAAAGGCTCTGAGAAGTCCTGCATCAAGAAATCTGTTTGGGGAAATCACCCTAGACAAAGCTCTGGGCTTTCCCAGAGGTCAAGATTTTAAAGGCAGGAGGGGAAGTTCGTCTGCTCCACCGCTGCCTCCCTGAATGCGAGGTCTGCAGGCGCTCAGGTAATTCCATGTGCGGGGAGAAGCGTCTCCATTCCTTTTGGGGGAGAACCAGCCCTCCCGGCAGATCCCCCCAGAAGCCCACCACTCCCCAGCCCCCAACTCCAGAGCCTCGTGCGGCCAGTTTTTTCCTATCATAGATTGACCAGCACACGGCCGGGGCGGAGGGAGGGCCTCCCGCTTCGTGCTCCCATCTCAGGGGACCAGGCCAAATGCAGCACGGAACAGCACTGCCAGCAGAGCCCTGCTTGTTTACCAGGCACGTCGTGAATGCAGCTCCGGGTAAGGCGGCCAGTGCCAGCCAGCAGGCTGCCGCGCCGAAAAACATTTCCACATGAAAAAAAAAAAAGCCTTCATTCGGAATGAACCACCCCCCGGCGCTGGCTGGTAGTTCACTCCACAGAAGCGGGGCGGGTGGACAGGAAGGTACCCGGGAGCGGAGATGCTGAGTTAAAAGGCGCCAATTTTATGCACTGTAGTTACGCTTTTGACTATAATTACACTTCAATCCAAGTGGCAAACATTTCAGAGATTTTTCAAACATTTTCCCACCTTCTTCCCAGCACGGAGTTTGGAGGGAGACGGGAAGGAAACACACCCCCTCGGAGAGCTTACCTTTTTCACCACGCTGAGCTTGTCAGGGGCATGGTCGAAGAGCGTGTCGAAGGCATCCCGCTCTGCAGACAAGCGGAGACACAGAGACGGGCTGAGGGAGACCCGGGTGCTGCTCTCAGCCCCGCCCGACCCCGGGACCCAGCAGCTTTTGATCCCATGGGATGTTCAGCCTGTCTAGAATCATTGTCACTCCTGTCAGAACCCAGGGGCCGGTGCTGACAAGGAGTAAAATCAAGGAAAAGATGCTTCAAAGGTTCCTCCTAACTCAGTTTCTATCTTTTAACATGAAATACACCGGGTGGCACTTGGACATATGCCCCCATCACATCCCAGGACTCCAGGTGTCCTTGCCTCTCTGTTCCCACGTTCCTTGTCTTGTTGGTAAATCTTATTGATAAATCTGACCATCCCCATACAAGCTCCATCTCCTCTCACCTGGGAGCAGCTACAACCTCCTGCTTAATCGGTCTCCCTCCTTCACTCCCAGCCCAATCCATTTGCCCTCGCAGGCACAGAGAGCCATTTAACATGTAAACTGCATCATTTCTTGCCCGCTCTGATCCCTGCCCTGACTAAAACTCTCCACCAGCTTCTCATCACTCCTAGAATAAAATTCATCCCCTTCCGCATGGGCCCACAGGGTCTGACAGGCTCAGCATCGCCCCCAGCACACCCACCCGCCCTACCCCTCTCCACTAACCAGCTTTCTGGCTGTTCCTCCATCACATGCCCACCACAGGGCCTTTGCACCTGCTGTTCACGCACCTCACTTCCTTCAGGTTGCTCTGAGATGTCACCTCCTCTGAGGGGCCTTCCACAACCATCTGCTTCTACAAGAGCACCCCACTTCCGCTCCCTGTCCCCTTACCCTGGGGCAATTTTCATAGCACTTAATGACTACTTTGAGAGTAACTTTTATTTTTATTTGTCTGTTGTGTATTATCTGCTGGACTGTCAGCTCCTTGCAGGCTGGGACCACTGTCTCACTTGTTCCCTGTCACTGGCTCCCAGATCAATGAAGGGCCCACAGCCAGTGCTCAGAGCAAATGAAAGAGCCAGGAAATCTTGCTGAGAATCCTCCAGACCTATGCTGCCCGGGGTGTCCACCTCTGTGGGAATGTCTGCTGGGCCTGGGATGGGCCGTTCCACTGGGTCCCACCCACCTCCCTTCTCCCAGGGACCCCGACCCACTCTAACTGCCACTCACGGGCACAACCATGCTTCCAAATTAACACAGAATCAATCCCTTCTCTTCAATGGTGAGGCCACTGGAGGCCACGGCAGCATGGGTCTCAGTGGACAAGACAGGAGCAGGGCTGGCTGAGGGCCAGGGGCCCGGTTCTGGCCTCACACTGCCACGGCAGGTCACATGGAGGCTGGACAGAGCACACTGCAGCCTGGACCCCCACCAGGAGGGCTGAAGTCTCCAGGGTGGACACAGGGCTGGGGGGTGTCACTGCCAGGACAGAGGGAGATGGGGGAAGGGCATTTGGAAGGCCCTGGGGCCCCTACTTCTGTCCTCAAGGAGCTGTCCATCCCCTCAAGGTGCCTGGGGGTGGTACATGCTAAGAGGACCTTGGCCAGTAGAGGCCCTATACTACGAGCTGAAACTTGGGCCCAAACCCAGTGTGGAGCTCAGGGGGCTGGGGAGCCCACTTTGATGGGGGAGGTGGGGTAGGCAGTCCCCTCCACCTGTCTATAGGGGGCCGGAGCCCAGAACCAGAGCTGGCCTGGGGCCTGCTTCAGCACGGCCCTGCCTGACCCAGGGAGAGGGATGGGGGAGAAATGAGAAAGAGAAGGTGGGTCGTGACCAAGTGAGCCAGAGCTGGGTCCTCACCTGGAGGGAGCATCCCGGCCACTCCTTTGAGCCTGCGCCAAGAGGCGGGTGCTCGGCGTCCACGGGCAAGGGCCCCGGGAGGCAGCTCACACCCCAGCCCAGCCCAGCCCAGCCCAGGCAGCCTCCTCCTTGGCCTTGGTGGTGGGTGGCAGGAAGGAAGGTGAGAAGCAAGAGGAAGGGTGTGTGTGCGCCTGTGTGTGGTGTGCGCACACACACGTGTGCACCTGGCCGGGGGGGTGCTGGGGAAAGGGCGCCCCCACTTCCTTCATCTAAAGGCCAACAGCAACCAAAAGGCCCAGCCCCGCAGAATCCCCTCCTCCAGCTCTCCCACCGCAGCAGCTGTATATTACTTTTATAATCATCTAAGCCAGATTATGCTCAGACAGCCTGCTATAAGGGGGAAAAAAGCTAAATCTTCACAAAGCAAAACATAAACTTTAAATGCAGCTTAAGAAAAACCCCAGGAGCAGAGCAGCCTTGACGTCAGCCGGGTATATTTAGCTGGGCCACCGCTGGGCCCGCAGTCAGGGCGGCAGGGGAGCCGTCTCGGGGTCTGGAGGCCGGCGCCCCCGCGCCCCGCTCACCTGCACCCGGGAGACTGGACGACGTCATGGCCGGGCGGTGTGCCTGGCCTTGGGAATGAAAACAGATCGGGTCCAGATCCTGGTGCCCATGACTTCCCTCTTCCCTCCATAAGACAGAAGCAAAAACAGTCCCTGGCTCACTGGCGGGGTAAGAATGAAGCAAGATGGTGAACAAAGGGCCAAGCCGCCACCACCTGGCAGGGGTGTCACTGGCACTCGGTGATCTCCCCGCAGGCTCCAGGGACAGTCCTGGCCCCGGGAGGGGCCCAGGCTGGGAAGCACAAAGAGGATGGGCACCAAAAAGGCCAGAAAGATGCGGAAAGGGGCCAAACCAGCCAGGGGCCCCCATGTCCACCCAAGTCCAACTTCAGGGACGCTAAGTTTACTCCAGATAAGGTGGGTTTTGTCCGTCTGAGTCAGCATTTTTTTAAGTTGGAAGATTTGTCCAAAAGTTCTGAATTTCTGGCTTCTCTTGAAGACCTGGAAGCTGAGGCAACACTGAGCCTACACACCTCCTCCCCAGCATTAAGAGGCTACCTGTGGAAGTGGGGGTGCAGACGCCCCCGTCTGCCCCAGACCCCAGCACTCCCCACCACACCCAGCCCTTCCTCATTTCATATCCAGCCACGTCCCTCTTCCCTGTCCCCAGCCTGGCCCCTGGAAGCACCTGAGCTTGAGGCCATGGTCACAGGGCCGGGGACGGAGGAAGGCTTCACTCAGGAGCCCTGACGTTTGAGCTGGGGCTTGCTGGGGCAGGAAGTGGAGGAAGAGCACTCCGGGCAGAGGGAAGAGACAGCACAAAGGGAGGCATGAGAAATCCAGAGTGGGCTCCAGGTAGTGTGGCCTCTGGGGGAGGCTAAGAGGGGCTGGGTCCCTCAGGGTGAGGAGTCGTGGAGGGCAGTGACCAGGAATGGCGTGATCCAGCTGCAGTGTTAGCAGAAACAGGGAGATGTGAGGGGGAGAGACCAGGGGCTGTAAGGAGACCAGGAGGAAGAGGAAGAAAGCTTCTCCTCCTTTCTCCCCAACTCCCGGCAGCCCAGAGAGGGGGAGGGGGGCCCACGGAGGAGAGGCAGGCAGCAAGCCCGTTGCCATGGAGATCAGACTACATCATCCCAGTTCCCTTGGGGAGAGACAGGCCTCCCATCCACCTCAGTCAGGATTGTGATGTCCTCAGGAGGTAAGGGGGGAGGGTCTCTGGGGGGGAGTGAACCACCCTGCCCCAAGCGCTAATGTGAGAAACTGAGGCCCAGAATTTGGTTCTGTGTGCAGCCCGGTGGGAGATCTGCCTGGTGTTCCAGAAGCTCCTGGAAGGTGTCCTCCCCAGGGCTGGAGATGCACGCGGAGGAAGACACACTCCAGCCCAGGATGCTTCCAGCTCAAGGAGCCATGTGCAAATGGGAAGAGGGAAGGGCTGAGTGAGAGGTCCCAAGTGCCTGGGCACCCGAGGCTGCTAGGCACGGGATCACAGCAAGG